CCCCCCCCCCCCCCATTCCCGGCGACAACCACCACTACAGGTTTATGTGATGTCATGACCGGGTCATCGTCATCGAACCCCGTCATCCGTAGTCAATTAACTTGCTCGTCGTTACAATACCCCCCGCCCAGAGGGTCACAAAAACAATGATAAAAAGACAAAAAGCTACTGCGACACGGACTTTCAACAGCAGTACCATCTAATATCACTCGTAGTTGCCCATCATGATAACGTCATCGATCTTGAGGATCATCTTGACAACCTGCGTTGCTAGCAGGAGCTGCTGCTGCTTCCCGATCAGCGTCTCGAAGATCCCCTGCTCCTTCATGTCGCACGTGCCCACCTGGCAACAACCAAGAGAAAACGACCCAGAGCAAGAACGGGGGGGGATAAGTCATGCTTCGGGATTTTGGTGGAACGCAGTAATCAGCTGCAGCAACTGACGAGACGAGAATATAGTTCCGCCAAAAGGAACATGGAGCAAAATCGAAGAGAAAAACACGAAAAAGTGAGAAAAAAAAAAGTGAAGCAGATAGGAACCAGCCGCAATAGGGGCGTAGAAGCGACACAACAAACATGTCACTGGATGTATACTCGCGTAGAAGTACATATACTGTATGGCATGTATGTACCTGGTTGCAGTCGATCCCCAGCGAGGTGATTCCCTCCGCGATCTGCCTCGACTTCACAGCCGAGAGCTCGGTGATGGGGGACAGACCCGCGTTTTCGGCCAAAGCCATGGGGACGTCGTCCAAAGCGTCCGCNGGGGGGGGGGGGGGGGGGGGGGGGGGGGGGGGGGGGGGGGGGGGGGGGGGGGGGGGGGGGGTCTGTTGCTTGCGGCCATCATCGGCCACTCACCACGTATCTCGCGCGAGACGGGGGCATGGATCCTCCTCCCCAAAGAGACACCTCCGACAATCTGGTACTTCGTACATTGTAGCTAGTGCCGGCTTTCTTCCAAAATTCGCAAGGCAAGCCTTGGGCGAAGGGGGCAAAATAAACCGCAACTAAAAGGAGACCAAGGAGAGGACAGCAGGCAGCGTCAGCGGCAACCGGCAACAAGGAAAAGAGGAAAGGTCACGAGGGCACACATACTCTTGACTTTCGGTACGACTGCCGGAGGGCGAGGGGGCAGCGTTCGAAGAATCTTCCGAGCCCCGGACTGCGTTGGCTTCGACAAGGATTCGTTCAGCGGCAGCCGTTGCAGCAGCTGAGCGAGAGCGAGGGGCACGCGATCGAGTCGTATGCGTATCATCACGTCCTGCGAAACGCACGGCTTGCACCGCCACAGCTGCAACGACATGGGCAACCGCAACAATACACAACCACATAGCGATCGAGCTTCCTGTCCTGTACAGACCACACTTGCCAACCAACCGCCTTCGACAACGAAAATCAATCGATCACCTCTCGGCGCAAGATCAAGCAACACCTACGGGTGGGAGGTAGGCGCTCAGGTGTAGTCTTCCGCACTGACCCAACCGAGACAATCGAAAATCCGGCCGGGCCTGAGCTCACCACGCAATGGTGAACTGTGAAACCAGCACCATGTTAACGCATGACATGGTCAACCAACCGACTTTGAAAACAAACAAAGATATCATCGATCTGGGCAAGATCAAGCAATACCCACGTGAGGGTGGGGGAGGGGAAGCGCTCAGGTGTGGTTGTCCGCACGGACCCAGCCGGCAAAATCGAGAAGGCCGGCAGGGGCTGAGGGAAGTCATCATCCTTTGACCGTGTTACACGCATCACGGCGCCCTCACCCTCCCCGTCGCAGGGGCAAAAGAGCACGAAAGCATCAACAGATACCATAGGGCAACGACGACAAGAGTAATCATTGCAATCACCAAAACACCAACAACGTGGTTACCCAAAACACTCCATCGAAACGCATGGTTCCATCATCACCAACGCACTCGCGGTACAGTGCGGTACCGTATGATATGGTACGGTACATACCTGCTCGACCCCCTTGATCTCGTCCGCCATGCGGGACACCGCCACGCTGCAGCTGATCTCCGCCGATCCTCCCCCGTACACGATGCGCTTGTCCTTGATCAAGTTCCGCACCACGCACATGGCGTCGTGCAACGACCGCTTCGCCTCCTCCACAATCATCTATTTTTTTTGACAACGGCAAGGGGTGGATGCACCTGGAGAAAAAACTTGGTGTACAAATAGCCCACACTCCCGTGTGTACGTATGCCTCCAATTCGTCGGAGGAAATAGAGAGCGGTATTTCCCCCGCAAGTGTTGAGTTCTTTGATTTCAAGGAACGGGCACAGCATTCGAACAGAATAAGGATAGCGCGGGCATACGCAACAACAAAAGAACACACAAAGGCATGTATGTGAAAGTTCCCGAGAAGTTTGTTCAGGTGAACCGTGACAAAACTAGCATTTTCTAGTCGATCGATTAGCAATAGGTCTATCAATAGGTAAGGTATTGAAAGGGTTTCGACAGCCGAATTCCAAGCCAGGGCAAAGAAGAAACGACACTGTATGCACATCTGCGTAATATTGTTTTGTAGAAAAGTAAAATCCACAAATTGTTTTTCTGACAAACGTGAAAAGGACAACAAAAAATGCGGCTGTTGGGCGATCCAAAAATAGAGGGATAGAGAGAGACTTGCAGCAGGTCCTCCCTTGATCGGCAAGCAACTTCAAAAGATAGTGAGACCTGGTGCAGGCCTTCCGCGACCACAGCAAACAGCCCGCCACGCGCAAGCAACGCCCTACAACCAATTACACATTTGGGGACATATAATCAACTAGCGGTGTAGCTGGTGGCAAGCAAAACTCCAACGTCGGCCTACGATACGCAAAGGCGTGCACCTAACAAAACGAGCAATCAGTTGTATACGACGTGTACACGACACCACCGCCACGCGGCCACGCGACGACGGCACGGCAGCAGAAAACCGACCGCACCTTGTTGCCCCCCCGCACGAGCACCGTCACCGCCGTCGAGTTGGAGCAGTCCTCGATGACCAGCATGCGGTCCTTGGTGGTACCGAAGGACACTTCGCGGACCGCCCCGGCCTTCCCCAGCTTCTCTCCCGTCAACTCGCTGAAGCACAAGCAAGAAGAAAACAACAAGGAAAGCGGTCAAGCAGCAGCAGTAGGGGAAGGTGGAGGGGGGGGGGGGGGGGGGGGGGG